CAATAGCTTCTTCGAGACCCATGATGCAAGCCTCATATTCTGCCATATTATTAGTATAATCAAATGTCAACCTTGCAGTAAAAGGAATGTGCGATCCATATGGAATGACAATCACATCACCATCAAATATCATACTCCAACGAGCTTCAGGATCAGGACCTTCCTCCTGCAACGGTTCATCACAATCTTTCACTTTCAGAAACATCACATCCTCATCGGGAAAGTTATACTTCACAAACTGATGATCATCAACTGGTTGGTGAGCAAGATAATCTGCCAACACGCTTCTCTTAATAGCTTTTTGAGTGTGTTATTCTATGTCATATTCAGATAACAGCATCTGCCAGCGGGCAATTTTCCCAGTAAGAGCAGGATTTTCAAAAATGTACTTGATTGGATCCATTTTGGAGATCAACCCTGCCGCAAACATTTTTCCGCCCAGGCTAGAGCACAAGATATCCTTTCCAGCATGGAATACCGCGGCTCACAATCAGTAAATTTTTTACTGAAATAATAAATGGCATACTCTTTCTTCCCTGTTTCATCTTGTTATCCCAGAATACAACCCATGGAATTATCTAACAATGTCAGATACATAATCAACAGTCTTCCTTCAACGGGAGGGAGAAAGATAGGAGGTTCAAGAAGATATTCTTTAATACTTTCAAATGCCCTTTGACAGTCATCTGTCCACACACAACCTTGATCTTTCTTTAACAACTTAAAGATCAGTTCACACGTTGCAGTCATGTGGGAAATGAATCTGGAAATATAATTCAAACTCCCGAGGAACCCTCTGACTTGCTTTTCAGTTCTTGGCGCTGGTATCTCTTGAATTGCTTTGACTTTATCAGTGTCAACTTCAATCCATTTCTAGCTAACAATGAAACCCAATAATTTCCCTGATCGAACACCGAAGGTCCATTTATTTGGATTCAAGCGGAGACAATACTTCCTCAAACGCTGAAACAACTTCAACAAATCTTATACATGCCCTTCTTCAGTCTGGGATTTAGCAATCATATCATCAACATATACTTCAATTTCCTTGTGCATCAGATTATTAAATAGGGTTGTCATAGCCCTCTGGTACGTTGCACCAGCGCTCTTCAACCCGAAGGGCATCACTCTGTAACAGAATTTTCCCCAGGGTGTGATAAACATTGTTTTTTCCATGTCCTCTGGAGCCATTCTTATTTTATTATACCCATAAAATCCGTCTATGGACGAGAATACTTTGAATTTTTTTGTGCTATCCACTAAAATATCAACGTGTGGCAATGGAAAATCATCTTTTGGACTAGCTTTATTTAGATCTTTGTAATCTACGCACATGCGAACTTTTCCGTCTTTTTTCAGTACTCAGAAAATATTGGAAATCCACTAAGGGTACACTGACGTCACAAGAAAATTGGAATTAATCTTCTTTAGAACCCCTTCTTTGATCTTTACTTCCACATCTGGGTGAGTTCTTCTCAACTTATGTTTGATTGGCGGACACTCTGGCTTTAACGGCAAACGGTACTCTACAATGTCTGAATCTAGACCAGGCATATCTTGATAAGACCAAGAAAAAATATCCACATACTCTTTCAACAACTCAATCAACCTGCTCCTTACACTAGCATGCAGCAACGCTACGATCTTGACTTCTTTCGGATCTTCTTTCGGATCTTCTTCCGAACCCAAATTGATTACTTCTAATGGCTCTTTATATGGCTGAATGGCATTTTCCTCGCGCTCAAGAAATCGTGAGACCTCTTCTATAATCTCATCATAGTCTTCTTCTTCGGCCCCATACACAGGACATTCAAAGTTGGGAGAGGATGCATGATTATTGTATTCAACGAGTTTTTTAATTAATCTACCCATATGATTTATGATTGCATTTAGAAACTGACACATATAACAAGTGATCATGCAAATTAAATTTCGGTTATTATTCATTTTGAAAGGTTTTTTCTGATTACCATTTTCCAAGAAAAAGCAGAAAATAAAGACACAATTTGGGAACCAAAGACAACTTTTATTATTGATTTTAAAAGTCATAGTAAACAGATAAGCCCATACAACATTAATACTTCCACCTTGGGCAGAGTGAAAGCTTTTCAAAAAAAAGATTAACAAAACAAATTACTTTGAAACATGTATGCAAGAGGGAACATCAATGGTGATCCAGTTCTGAACCCTAACTCCGTGCGTCACGTAATTTGGCATTCCCTGCTCTGCTTCATCTTCCACAATGGCATTAATCTCGGAAACAGTTGAATGGAGATAACCTCCGCTATGGAAGATGTCTTGATACCTGCCTTCCGCAGACTTTGGCTTAGTGCTCTTACTTTTGTCATTCTTCAGAGAGAGCCCCAAGTCGACTCTGTTCTTGTTTACAGGTGAAACAACCGGCTGAAAATCATCAAACAATGAAGTCGCCATTGAACGTCTTTTATCCCACATGTAGGGAAAGGTAAACATCGAGAAAACCCGAGAAGGGAGAAGTCACGGTCTTGCGACCAAGAGATCGGGTAAGGGAGTCTATTACGCGAGGGGAAGGTATTAGCACCCCACACGCCCGTAGTACTCTATGGTATCCACTCTTATTATCTATCTTATGGGTGTGTTCAATCTATGCTTATTGTTTACTATACTACTGAAAGAATAATGCATGCAAAAGAAAAAGGAAAGAATGTAGGGAAAATAAAATTGTGCTCGCTTGGGCCCTACCCCAATGCCTATGTATCCTTTTGAGGAATCAGAGCTACCGTAGTTCAGCTAATATGTTTTTGTTTGTTTTTTTTTAATGGACGAAGTTAATTCCGCCTTCCGCCGCAGCTCTACCTTTGGAGACTTATGCATTGGCACAGAAGTAAATTAATCGTGTCTTTACCTGAAAAGGGTTTTAGAGAAAGGTGCTCGGGCGCACAAAATGGTTTGAGTTGGTTTGTATTTTGTTGCATATAACGACTAGTTGACCTCAAGAGAGAGATATTAGCCACTTTCCTGTTTAGCCATGAAAGGAGTCTTTGAGAATTGAACCACAGCTAGACTTGAGATGAAGAACAATAAGATCGAGAAGAGACCCGCTTATCATTTCTCATACTAAGCAAAGATGTGATTATCATCAGTAGCTTTAAAGTGTTTTGAATTTTAAAAAGGAAAAGAGATTTTTTTTGTTTTAGGTGCATATGCAAAAATGGGATAGAAAAGTCGAAGGGAGACTAGCCTATTTTTAAACCTAATGTTATTATGAAATGGTGGTCCTAAGATTTGGATGACAGGGGGAATTTCTACCTAATGTTAGCATGTATAGCTTGCAGTATAGCCCTGTTTCTCCTGATTTCTAGAAAAGTAGTAAAGAAACGCGATAAAGCGTGAAGGAGTGCGAGAGTAGTAGTGGCGACTACCAAAGTGAGAAAGTAGTCAAGAGCAGACGAAAGAACTAAGGAAGAAGGGAGCACGCGTTGAGCAAGCTTTTACCAAGAAACAAATAAATTCAGAAATAATACCCAACTAAGATAAAGGAAAACGCGTATTGCGAATGCAATGCATAATCAGAAGTTCCTCGCACAATGAACAAACGCGTCATAAATAATATGTCAAAGCGGAATGAAAATACGGATGACGGCTAAAAAGAAAAAGTATATTTTTTATTATTAGTTCCTTTATGTAAGGAAAGTTCTAAAAAAATAATTAATTCCTAAGAAGTTTCTAAAATCCTATCATATATATCTTTATCGTTTTTATTTATTTATTTATTTTGGTTATCAAAATTATAGAAAGTAAACTAATTTTGGAAAAGGACATTAGATTTCTAGTTAAAAGGGGGTCCAGGCTGTAGTCCAGGGGAGCTGGAGGAATATGGGTGTTAGGCCCACCAGAAAGTGTTCATGGTGTTGTTTTTTATTCTTACTATTTCAGCAATGAATTTCAAAAAAATGTGCTAGGACTAAGAAAGTGCAGAATCAGCCCAATCAAGGATTTATGGAATCCGGTCCATCAACAACATCATTATCCATCTTTTTTATTAATTATTGAATAAAAAATATTAAAAGAAAATAAAAGAGGAAAACAATGTAGTTTGATCAGTTAGGGTTGAAATTAATGAATATTCAACTTCATGTTGCGTCCTTCTTCTTCTCTTTCCCACAGACGCGCCACAAGACTTGACCTTCCTCATCATATCCGCTTTCTTCTCCGATCAACTTCTGATCGTATTCATCTGCTTTGTCTCGTTCTCTTCTCTGATTATGTTCACTTAATCTTCGCCTAATTTCTCAATCTCGTCTCATCTCTCAACCTCTAAACAGTAAAACCCTAAGAGCTTCGAGATGGAATTAAACAACAATGGAGAGTGATCTCGATGCGTGAGCTTGTGGATTTCGTTCAATACACCACAAGCCTCCAAACAAAATCCAAAATAAAGATAAGCAATAAAGGAAGGTGAAGTTCAGAAACTTACCTACCGGACTGGTTCTGGCGACCTTTCTACGGCGTCAAAGTCGCAAAAAAACTAGACGCATAACTGGAAAGTCAGGTAATAAGTATTTGATCCCTTGCTCTTCGATTGTTCCCAATTTTCTTCCTCTTCTACTTTTTTCTATATGCTTTGTAAATTGAGAAGTAAACTCCGAATTGACTGCTTTGAAGGTTGGCTAGATTGCGTTGTTGAAGCAATGATGCGTTGCGCTTCTACAATTTTTTAAAGATGCAATGAGGATTGAATCGTGACGATTTTGTTGATGTCGCATTGATGAGGGTGAAGTATATGCTTATGTATACTGTTGTGTGAGCAAGAGACAAGATTTACAGAGCTTGATGGACATACTTCTGAGATGATGTGAGCCTCTGAGGGTTGCAGCATTGAAGGACGATGAAGGTTATGTGAAATCCTGATGAATGGTGTCAAGGCAAGTAGAAGGATGGATGAAGATTTTGTGATTTTCAGAGAGAAAGATTGACTGGAAAGTTGATGGGAAGACGATGGTGAAGATTACAGAGTGAAGATGTTGAAGGCCTCAAACGTGATCCAGAGATGGATCGAGTTCTTTGCAGATTTTATGGAAGATGATGATGATGTAGGTGCTGAGAGAGATAGCTTAAGGGATTTTTTGATATTTTGTGAGTTCTTTTGAAAATGTTAAAGACTTGGATCAAGGTGAGAATCGTTTTTATATATTCAGTTTTCCTCTCTCTCTCTCTCTCTCTCTCTCTCTCTCTCTCTCTCTCTCTCTCTCTCTCTCTCTCTCTCTCTCTCTCTCTCTCTCTCTCTCTCTCTCTCTCTCTTCTGTATGAACTATATTTGAAAGTATCGACTGGAAATCCATCCCCTCCATTATGTTATCCTATTTTCTGTTATTAGTTCTGTTATAAGTTTGCTGGAATCTGTTAAGTTTGTTGCAGAATTGGTTAGGAGTTGGTTACGACAGTTAGGAGTGAAGTTCTATTTTCCCTTCTGCTTTGAAATTTTTGTTGAAAGCTGGTTGGAAAAATGTTAAATTTAATAGTTATGTGATTATGAAAAGTTGTTAGGGCTGTTTTGGAAGGTTGGGAAGTCAGTTAGAGATTGGTTATATGTTAGAAAGTTAGTTACATTCTGGTATCTGTCATTAAGGTAGTTAAATGGTTAGAGGAAGCTTTTTTGGTTGTTAGTTTTGGGTGATGTTAATTAGGAAGTTAGAAGTTAGTTATGCAAGGTTATAGAAGGCTGATTAGAATCGGTTAGGGATCTTGTTTTTAACAGTTGGAGGTTCTTAGAAGAGTTAAATTTTGAACTGACTTTTTATTATGAAGGTTAGTTTTTTATTGAGCTGGGATCCGGTTTTTGATAATGAAAAGCGAGTTAGAAGCCGGTTGAAACTGTGATGGGCTAGCTTAAGGTTAGTTAAAATTCTTTTATATACTGAATGGTGCAGTAGGAGAGAATTAGAAATCTGGTTTTCAGCTTTTGAGAGTTGACTATTTTTAATTCCACTTCTGATTATATGAACAGGTGACCTTTTAGACTGGTTGTGCAGGTTGTGGGAACAAAATCCCACCCTTCGAACGTTTAGCTGGTAATACTGATCACCTCTTATACTGTGTAGTGGATTTTGTGCACTGTTAGATAAAAGCAAACAATTATGTTCTGCTAAAGCTGCCATTTTACTTTTGATTCATGCACCATGTTACTTATGATGGCCATGAAGTAGTTGCTTTGCTTAGGAGTTAATTTTTTGTTTTCTTTGATGTATTGTAACAGGGTCTAAGCAGCCGCTAGTTGCAGTTTTGAAGCAGTATTATCAAGGCATTGTTGCACCGTGTCTTGATTTTCCCGGATTATGGAACACGAAGTACGAATTCAAGTTGGTTTGGTGAATGTTGGTTCTGGTTTTTGGTCTTTGCTAGACATGATTAATCTTGTAATGATTTGGAATATAGTAGCTTGAACTTGAATGATGTACTTCTTCCTACTTTGTAATCCCTTGATTTTACTCATAGTTTTTCTTTTTGATGTAAAGTAACACTTCTCTCTTAAAAGAATTTATACTTACAATCTTCCCTGACTTTGTGTTTTATGTACTTCACACGTCATTTAAAGCTACATATCACAAGATATAAGCGCCTCCTCTATTTGAGTGAATCTTGGCTTCCTTAAATCAATCAATCTATAAACTCCAATGCTCCATAAAACTTTAAGTTTTAGTCTTGAGATACTTGAATAAGAAAAAAAAAAGACTTGCATCCCAAGTAAATCATCTAACCAAGTGGAGTGTTCGTGCATCATAAAGTACACAAATCCTAAAACCAAAATTTCCTTAATGACTTGCATCTTGAGCAATGATAGAATCCTTTGAATGATGACTTCCACTGATGAACCCAAGGATTCATAAAGAACTGCTCTAGAATAGCGACAAGAGAAATAAAACCTTATCAATTGACAATGGTGAACATAAGTAAATGATGTTTGTAAAGTCTCCATGCCCTCATGGTCTCCTGAATGCCACATTATAGGATGCCTCGCATTATAAGCAACCATGAAGCCACTTTACATATTGAAGAAGACCAAGAAAAGTAGAGAATAAGGAATTCTGAGGATGATATGTAAACAAGTCTTTGTACTCATCAAATGATCCCGAGGATAAGGGATAACCTTTTGATACAAACCCGCAAAAGAGATGAATCCATGATGAACTATGTGAAACCCTAATCCCATGAGTATTAACCCAAGTATCGAACCTTATTGTTAGTGAATATGTGTAATGCTAGATGACCTAACAAAGTATGTAGATGAAGAATGAGAGATGCGTAAGCCAGATTATCCTTGTAAAAGGGGTAGGACAAATTTGGGGTATTACAACAGGTGGATCCATAATCTGTCCCCATACCTTACTATGACCCTTACGCACAACTTGCTGCACATCCTTAATAGAAACCATAGAATTATCATTTCTTCTTATATTATCAATGGATAAGGCTTGGAACTGGGTTCCAACAGTAGCTTCATCCGCCTCCACAATGCTGAAAGAGGACAAATGAGATATCAATAATGCATGTTCTTCATTTATAATCACCATATTTCCTTCACGTACAAAATTCAGTTTATGGTGTAAAGTTGAAGTGACAGCCCCTGCCTCAAGTATCCATGGCCATCCCAGCAAATGTGGGCCTATGTGAATAGGCAAGTCCACTTCACCAATAACATATTTCCTTGATCCATCAAACTCTTTCACAATAATGCCACTTGGGCCCATGGGCGTTGAAACAACCAGCTGAAAATCATCAAACAATGAAGTCGACATCGAACGTCTTTTATCCCACGTGTAGGGAAAGGTAAACATCGAGAAAACCTGAGAAGGGAGAAGTCACGGTCTTGCGACCGAGAGATCGGGTAAGGGAGTCTGTTACGCGAGGGGAAGGTATTAGCACCCCACACGCCCGTAGTACTCTACAGTATTCACTCTTGTTATCTATCTTATGGGTGTATTTAATCTATGCTTATTGTTTACTATACTACTGAATGGATAATGCATGCAAAAGAAAGGAGAAAAGAATGTAGGGAAAATAAAATTGTGCTCGCTTGGGCCCTACACCAATGCCTACGTATCCGTTTTGAGGAATCAGAGCTATTGTAGTTCGGCTCATATGTTTTTGTTTGTTTGTGTTTTTTATGAACGGAGTTAATTCCGGCTTCTGCCGCAGCTCGACCTTTGGAGACTTATGCGTTGGCATAGAAGTAAACTAATAATGTCCTTACTTGAAAAGGGTTTTAGAGAAAAGGTGCTCGAGCGCACAAAACGGTTTGAATTGGTTTGTATTTTTTTGTTGTAGATAATGACTAGTTGACCTCAAGGGAGAGATATTAGCCACTTTTCTACTTATCCATGAAAGGAGTCTTTGATAATTGAATTGCACCTAGGCTTGAGATGAAGAACAATAAGATCGAGAAGAGACCCGCTTATCATTTCCCATACTAAGCAAAGGCATGATTCTCATCAGTAGTTTTAAAGTGTTTTGAAGTTTGAAAAGGAAAAGAAGTTTTTGTTTTAAATGCATATGAAAAAAGGGAAGGAAAAGTCAAAGGGAGACTAGCTTATTTCTAAACCTAATGTTATCATACAATGGTAGCCCTAAGTCAAGGATGAATGAAAGGGAAACATCTACCTAATGTTAGCATGCATGGTTTACAACCTAAGGTCTAACTTGCATCCGAGCGGAGCAAGCGCATCCTAAGAGAACATGGTATGTACAATGGCGAAGCAAACAAGCTAATAAGCTCAAGAGCACACTTGGAGAGACCCTACCTAGGTTAGCATGCTAAAGAAGGTCTAACAAAACTATCCTATAGGGAACATGCAATGAGAGCAAAGTCGTGATCTCAATTTCTAAATTGAGTGACTCATCGATCAACAGGAAATAAAGGAAAGCGATAAAGTCCTATAGGGAGCATGGACTGAGAGAAAAGTCGTGATCTCAATTCCTAAATTGAGTAGCTCATCGATCAATGAGAAAGTAAATAAAACATAAGCACGACACATATAGCAATCGAAGTGCGGAATTCCGGCTACAGGTCTTTAAACAGCGACTTCGAGCGCACGCTCTTTATTTCCTACTTCTCATGGTATCTAGAAAAGCGGTAAATAAATATAGTGAAGTGCGAAGAAGTACGGAGGTAGTAGCGGGGACTACCAAAGCCAGCAAATCGTCAAGAGCGGACAAAAGTAATGGAGAGGCAGGGAGTACGCGTCGAGAAAGCTTCACCAAGAAACAAACAAAGTCAGAAATAACATCCAACTAAGATAAAGGCAAACGCGTGTTACGAATGCAACGCGTAATCGGGTGTTCTCGTGCAAAGCATCATGAAGTATCATATGTGTCAGGACAACATATAATACGATATGAATTTCTCAGTACGATGAGAAACAAGGCGTGTCGCAAGTGAGCATAAGTCGTATGCTTCGATCATATAACAACTTATTATGTTAGATGATCTAAAGCAAGAAGAGTGTACCTTGCACAATGAACAAACGCGTCAAAAATAACGAGGTGCGACGGTGTAAAAAAAAGACTAAAATACTAACAGAGAAGAGTATTTTATTATTAGTTTTTATATAAGGAAAGTTCTAAAAAAAATAAAGGATGAATTCCTAAGAAATTTCTAATATATTCTATTATATTTTTTATTGTTTTTATTACATTTTTGCTATATAAAAAAAATGAAAGAAGAAATGAAAACTAAAAAAGGATATAAAAGGAAAATAGGGAAGTCAAGGGTGTTAAACCGTATTAGGGGTATAAACCAGCAAGGGGCGCTAGGCTCATGCAATAATGTCCATAATGCTATTTTTGTACACTAAACTTCCAAGTTATAAAAAAACAATAACAGCATGGACCTAAAGAGGGGGGGGGGGGGGGGGGGGGGGGGGTGCAAGCAGCACGCAAGAAGTGTGCTGCCAGCATAGATGTTAATCCCATCAAGCAGTTGCCAACAAATTTTTCTCTTTGGGCCAAGATATATAGTGATCAGATCCACATCTTTGTCCACCAAGAAGTCCAATCTCACACCATTGTTTTGTTATCATTTACTTTATAAAAATAAAGAAAAAAATACAAATAATCATAAAATATATCATAAAGCAAAGTTTGAAGAGGAGATATGGTTCGAAGGTTATGTGACGTTCCTAATTCCTCGTGAAGTTGTATTCTTCTTCTCAGAAGCTTCACCGGAGGCGCGATACCGATTCCGCCTATCTTTTCTCAATCGACATTTCAAACACCGTCGTGGATGTAAAATGTCAAGCCGTTAACGCATGCTCTTCGTCGTTCTACTTCAATCATTCAACCTTCGGCTTCGAGTCATCTCCGTCTCGATGTGGTTCACGGAAAATTCACATAGTTTTTTTTCTTACAACAATGGAAAAAATTAAGAAAGTTAGGGATTTCGAATGTTACCGATTGGAGATGCTCCGATGGCGTTCGACGGCGGAAGGAGAATCTAAAATCCCTTTCGACACGGCTGAAGGATCCATGTATTTACTCTTCACTCTTACTCTTCTTCTTCATCAATTTTACTTGTTGTATTTCCCTGCGTGTGTTGTTGCTATGAATCACGGATTCATGATGTTGTTGTCGAGGTCGAGGTCGAGATGCGGGGGTGATGGAGATTTGCAGAAGGTGATGATTGAGCGTGAGCGTTTGTTGATTGTGAGTGAGTGAGGAAGATGATTAGAGGTTGCTGAGAAGTGGTGAGAATGATGTTGATTTGCGTCTGGTTGAAGGTTAGATGTGAGGGAGAATGATGAGTAGTTCACAAGAAGAGAGTGAAGGTGAGAAACAGAGAAGGATGAAAAGAGAGAATGAAGGTGAAAGATGGAGAAGTATGAAAATGGAAAAAAAGAAAATGCTGCGTGAACCCTCCTAAATGGAGAAGAGTTCTGTTATAAGGGTGGTTGGAGTTTGTTACTGGCCTTTGGATCTAAGAATCGGTTACAAAATGGAAGATGAGATTGATATCAAAATGAAATTATTTATTGTTGTTTAGAAATTCTGCTCTGAAATCCCTTTCTATTATGCAGGGCAGGGATGGTTTTATGTTTGGCTTAGAAAGGAGTGGTTTTGGAAATGTGGAAATTAGCTTGGTTTTGAAAGTTAGTTACACTGTTAATTCTAGGTTGTTAAGAGTTAGTTGAATGAGTTAGAGAGTAGGTTAGGGAATTTAGTTGGAATTCAGTTAGAGTTTGGTTGAAAATAGTTAGCAAGTTATGTGGTTAAAAACTGAAGGTTAATGAATTAGGAAGTTAGTTGGTGAAATGAATTATTGGTGTTAACTCCTTTTTTTTCGGTGTGCAGGGAAATTTGCTAATGCAGGAACTGATTTTTTGAATGTGTGCAGGCCGAGTTTGGGTTGTAGAGCATGGTACAAGCTGATTCCCTCTGACTCAATTCTTTTTCTGGTTTCATTTTTCTGCTATGCTGATCTGCGGGACACGTTTTTTTATATTTCAGATGAGTGCAAGGCCGATTTGAGTCGTGGCTTAATGTTGATGAATATGGGAAGTTGCTGAACTCCTGGAAGAAACATGAAGATAGGTGGAGAAAATCTTTAGCATAACATGGAACATTAACAAGATGAAGTCATGATAGAGCCTAGGATGAAACTTAAGTCCAAACCAAATTTTGTGTAATTTTCTTGATCATGTAATGTAGTTGAAAGGGGATGTAATTTGGTATATCATTTAGTAAATAGGAATGCTCTCTTGAGTCAAGTGTTAAATTACCTTATAGCTTCTTGAATTCAAATGAAGTATTCTCCTGAATATTCAAAGTGCTTCTTTCTTTCAAATTGTATTTGACATTCCATTCTCTTTTCCTCCAATATTTCCTTTAAATGCCTTTGTATGGATTCAAATACTCATGATATAAATCCAAAATATTTGCAAGGTTATCAAAAGAGACGTGAATCTTGAATGAATCCTTGAGAGGCTATTTGGACGATATTTTGATGGTTGGATGAATTCGATGCATGGCTTTTCATACTTGTGATCTGAATTCCAAGAAAAGTCTCGCAAATATTTAAGAACTTTGATTTGCTTCAAATCCACTTCAAATATTAATGAATGAATTATAATCAAACTACAGCTTCAATGAATCCCTAATTCAATTCAATTTTCCGATCTAAACCAAATTTGTGTGTCAAGCAATAATCAATTTGAAAGAATGACGCCTTGATTACAATCCACATCTTGTACCATGTCCCGACTATATGAGCACTAGAATAAAAAAGTCTTGGACCCTTGAAGAAGATATTCAAGATGACTTTGAACTCAGACCTTAGTTCACATAGTCTTTAATTAAACCTTTAGTGAAACCCTAGTGATCCTGCCCTTGACGAGGATGACAGCCTTATGATCTTAGGAGCCCAACGAGGTTCCTTCCTAACATCCCAGAAAGCATCAGACTGAGGCATATGAGAAATAAACCACCGGTAGAACAAAGGCGTGCAACAGATAACCATCCCTCCATGATAAGAATTCCGAAGATGAATAGAGTAATAAGCATCACACAACAAATTTGGGGTATTACAGGCGTTCCCTGATATTTCAATTTCATAAGCGTGCTCCTCAGTATAACATTCAAAGCGGATCCATTATCAATCAACACATTGGATAGTGAATCATTCTTGCAATTCATAGAGATGTGCAGGGCCAAGTTGTGATTCCTTCCTTCATTTTGCAATTCATCATCGCAGAAACTCAGGTTATTACATGATGTAATGTTCCCTACTACACTGCTGAATTGGTCTATAGGCATGTCACTTTCCACAAAAGATTGGTCCAGTACCCTAATCAAAGATTCTCTATGAGCAGAGGAGTTCATCAATAAATCCAAGATAAATATTTTCGAAGGAGTCTACAGTAGCTGATCTACAATTTTGTAGTCGCTCATCTTGATTATCTTCAAAATATCACCCACATATTTCTTTAACGTAGCTCCACTAGTTTCACCCGTAACCTTCTTGGGTTCAACATTCTCAGCAATTTTCTTTCCAATGCTAACATCTCCACGAACAACTGGCGCAAATACACGACCGCTGCAGGTCACTCTGCTAGTCTCAGCAATATTTCCAACATCAGGCATTGGTTGGATGGGAACTTCCACACCATCTTCTAATATTGTAGCTTTATATTTGTAGAGTACATCCTTATCTGACTTGTAGGGGACAGGACCCGGCAAACTGATCACTAATGGAGTAATAGTCGGCTTGCTATGATACTCGACTTCAAAATGCGAAGGTGCACCAAAACAAGGTACAATAATGTTTATTCCCTCTTCAACATAATCAATCATTATTGAGTCATCTCTAGAAAAAAAATCCTCATCCGAGGAGAAATACTCATTTGCAGAGGCATACTCATCATCCGACTCTTCTTCAGCAAAAAAAAACTCAATCATATCAACTTCATGGTAATCATCCCTTTGACCTGTAACTTTGATAGTTCCATTATCCAACAACAAATGAACACCTTTCTTCACAATAGAACATCCTCGGGAGTCCCAACAACAAATTCGACAAGATCCATACTGATGTTCCACCAGACCAGCCAAGTGGCAGAAAGTAGCATGCAATTGCACAAGGTCTTCATTCATATGCTCCACATAAAAAATTATGAACTCTCCAGGACATCCAAAAACCATATTCACCTCTTCATCATACTCTTCCCTAGGCCTGATTATGTGGATGAGGCCCTCATCCATCATCTCCTGTAAATCAGCCTTTATCTTGTCACAACCATGTATATCTGTATTATAAATAGCACAACCGGAATGGTCATGTGTATAGTAGCTAAATTCATAGAGGTCTGCATGCATTTTCACTAAATCTCCTCTAACTAGATTAATATCAAAAATCTGGAAGTCGCCTGGACAATCGGCCACCATATTCATAGTGTTTGCTCCTCCATTCTTGGGTAGAGGATTGTCTTTCACATTAGGCCCACATCCTTGAAAGATAGAATACCATACTTCACCAATTTCTGTACATTAGTCTTCAAAAGATAGAAATTCTCAACATTATACCCTGGTGCTCCTTGATGAAAAGCACATGTTTGGTCTGCTTTGTAATACCAAGGCAATGGTGATGGTACAATGGGAGGTGGTCGGGTCTGAACCAACTTCTTCTGAATCAATGCCGGTAGTAACTCCGTATAAATCATAGGAATAGGGTCATAACTTTCCCTTCTCTGATTATACCCTTGATTCCCCTGTTGGGATTGTCTCTGATAAGCAACGGTGGTTGGAGCTACACCAACAACTGGAGTAACTAAGGCGACTTGTTGACGACGCTGATAATTTCTTATAGGAGGATTAACCCTCCTCTATTGCATAACAACATTTGTATCCCCTTCTTTCTTCTTGGTAAACCCATAAGATGGCTTCTTTGCACCTCCAGATCCTTCACCCTTCGTCAAACGGCCCTCTCTGACAGCCTCTTCTAAACGGATACCCATGCCTACCATTTCAGTAAAGTCACTTGGCGCACTTGCTACCATCTTTTCATAGGAGAAAGCACCCATAGTCTTCAAGAAAATCTTAGTCATCTCCTTATTTTCCATGGGAGGAATCACTTGGGCGGCTACCTCACGCCATCTCTATGCATATTCTTTGAATGATTCCCTGTCTTTCTGAACCATGGCCCTGAGTTGATCACGGTCAGGCGCCATGTCCACATTGTATTTATATTGTCTGATAAATGCTTCTCCCAAGTCATTGAAATTTTGGATGTTGACGTTTTCCAAGCTCATATACCACTTTAGCACAGCACCAGTCAGACTATCCTGAAAAAAGTGAATCAGCAGACGCTGATCATCAGTATGGGTAGACATTCTCCTTACATACATTACCAGATGAGCACGAGGGCAAGTGTTTCCCTTGTACTTCTCAAACTCCAGGACCTTAAACTTTGCAGGTATCTTAACATTCGGGACCAAGCATAACTCATTCACATTCTGACCGAATAAATATTTTCCTCTGAGGGCCTTCATCTCCCTCTGCATTTTGTCAAACTGCTCTTGAAAATCATCCATTTTGTTATAGAGACCCAAGTCTTCACTTGGTGGAGGAAAAGGACGACACACATCATCATTAACAAATGGAACCATATTCACCGAAGGAGGTGCAGCAGGAGCAACATGCACCACATGAGGTACAAGAGTAACAATAGTCTGAACAACTAGAGTATCTTGAGGACCAAGATTGAAACCTTCAGCGGCAAAGTTCTATGGCATTCCCCATGGATAACCTTGAGGCATGCAATTCTAAACAACAATTGGAGTAACAGATACAGGAACAACCGGAGCTTCAGTAGTAGCCCTTGTTGGTTGAGGTTGAACACTCGGTGGATGATTCTGAGAAGCCACCAGAGATTCCATCAGAGTAGTAAGATTGGCCATGCTGGCCTTCAAAGCAGGAACCTCCTCGCGCAGCTCGCGATTCTCTTGTTCTAAATTGTCCATCTTCCTTCTGAAATTAGCTCGAGTGTTGTAGTGGTGAGTCAGCTTGCTGAATGAAGTAAAGAAGCTTGGTAAGACACCTGGATATGCATAAAAAATGCAAAAAATATATGCAATATGATGCATGATATGCAATTCACATGAATTTAGGGTTTTGGTTCTTGCAAAGAAATTGAGGTTTTCAAGGGTCCAATCAAGTCCCATATG